TTGGTGGATTGTACGGGGGCCTGGCCGGGGGGAAGTGGGGAGGGGGAGGTGAGGAGGCGGGATGTTTGGGAGAGGCTGGGGTGGTAGGGAGAGGGGGGTTTGGGAATGGAGCTGTTGTGGATTCTTTTGGTAGGCAGCTTGTTCTTAGGTTGTACTACGTTGCGAGGCAGGATGTTCAATGGCGTTGTCGGTGTGTCCCGGGAGTAAAGGCTCAGGTGGAGGATATACCTTGGCTTGGACTATTTCATCGACCCATGCGTCGTTAATTCTTTAACGGATTTTTGAGAGTATATTGATATTAATCCTTATACTTTCACAAGACTGTACCCCAACTCTTGTCCAGAATAGCATGACAACCCAGTCATGAATCTGCAATTTGCTTCTTATGATGGCATTCTAGCCGATTGGGAACAGTTCTACCCTGTGAGCTTCTGCACTTGCCATGGAAATCAGCACAGCTGCCGAAGATAGGTAGTGGGGGTACGCTTATCCCATACATGGCAATCAGGATCTTGATAGCCCTGTCTGCGGATCGATTTGCCCATAATTGAACCGGAATCAAGCGCGAATTTGAGAGGATCTTCTGGAAAGATAACTCTCTAGTCTCGGCGACGAAGTGAAGAATGAAGATGATAGAGCGTGGTCGGCAGAACATCATTCATATCCATCCCACTCAGAATGGCCATGGTAATCTCTATTAGTTCTCATTTGCGTATCGCTAGAAAACCCGCTTGTCCTGAAATTGCAGTGGGAAATCCTGGGAATCCGGAAAGAAACAAAGAAGGATTGGTTGCATAGAGAGACGATATCAAAAGAGATTGGTTTGTAAGAATTGGCCGTAGTGGTTGCACCGCTGCAGAGCCTGTAAAGCAGAAAGGCGAATCTGACAATAAGCGTGGCAGCTCAATCCCACTTCTGTCGTTCTACTTTACTAGTAGAATTATTATGGAATAAGGGGGAAGTTTTCTTAGGCTCTAACGAGAGTCTGAGAAATGGAATTGGGAGTATCCTTGATTTTGTGGACGATTCTTCTTTAGAGCCGAATGTGGACTACATCGCGATTTATTCTCAATGGCTAGATGCCTTGGGAGAGCCTCTTAAGACTTGCTTACTGGACACTCTACTGACTTGGCATGCTTCTGAATGCTCGGTAGTGCAACTCTAGAATGGTAGAACGGATGTTGGGTGAAAAGAGGGGGGTCGCGTCGTGCCCTCGGATGTAGGACGCGTTCCCAATTACGGTAGTGTGCCTACTTGTTCACGGTATGTACCGGTAATATGTACGAATTGACGCGTAAAATGCTAACTTTTTCAGACACTTTCTTTCTGCGCCATGTCAGCTATGCGGTGTCTTACCACGTTAACATTCTATGATGGGAAAATATGTGTGCTTTGTTAGTCTCCACTTGGTGGGTTTCCAAGTACCGGTATGACGTTGGACCTAGCCAACTAGCGGGTGTTGAGTTGGGCGTGGAGGTACCGGTACCTACCGTACGATGTTCACAAGAGAATCTTTCATCGTTACCGATAGGTACGCAGCTCTTGACCCACAGCGTTCACAATGGATCAGGATGTGTCATCACCTTGTAGAGGGCCTCTGTGAAGCTCTTGTGAACGTAAGAAAAGATTGAGTATAGTCACACAGTCTATCTTGCGCAGCTTTCCATTATTCAGGACATCAACAACCAGACTTGGTATCAATTGTAGGAGAAGCGAAGCTGCCGGTTGAACAGCAAGCAGAAGATTGCATAGGTAATGGGTAAATATTTGCGGCACGCCTGTTCTTTAGGCACAAATTATCATGCGTTAAATCCGGCTGGTCTCTGCTGCAACGAACGATGCTGTATCGGGAGAAAGGATGCATGATTTCGCCAGGTTCAAACTCCTTCAAAAAGTCCGTCAGCCCCGAACATCAGTCTGGTGCGTTGCGATTCGGCGCCGACAACAAGGCCTTGATCCGAGTGAGAGCCGAGATATTTTTCTTAGATCCGTCAAATCTCCTCATCTACCGAGTCATAGCCGTCCATCTCCGCGATATAATCACGCTTCCACCGTGCCAGACCCGAATTTCAGCGGCGACTGCTCGCATCCGCAGCCCTGGCGAACTTTGGCCGCTGCCCCTCCACATCCTCAGGAGGCTGCCGCGAGTAACTTGACTATGATGGCCAAGCACCTGGAACGCTGGAGTGTGACCCCACAATTGCTCCTAAGCTCTACCTACTGTGGCATGCCACCGTGCCATGATGTTGTCAATCTCTCGGCCGCGCCTCGTCTGAAATTGTACTTTCCAACTTGAGTTACAACTTCTATCGATTGCGATTAGGCTATATCAGTGGATAGAGTCTACGAGAGAGCAACATTCACCGGACTGCTCTCGGCCTTCCGGAGCGGCCTCTCGAGCCTCCCGTTATGCACTAATCATTCAATCTGTTTGGGCATCTGTAATAACCAAAGCAGCTGTTCGGAGCGTCCTCGGTGTGGATTGTTTAGCTCAGTTACCCGTTGCTACAAGGGATGGATTTGAGCCCATCTCGATTTACTGCGATTGTAGCAGCGGCATTTATCATAGCCACCCCATTGGCTCGAGGCTGACTACTCTGGCGGCGAAGGAGCCCACAGACTACGCTACGGCTCTACCGGCGAGGCGCACTATGTATTGGACGGGCCAGGAGGCTGTAGAGCTCCCCTGGCTCATAGTCGGAGGCGTTGGCGCCATTGGACGTAACCCCGCACCAGCTTAGATGCGAGGTAATTCTAAACACGACCGTCATAAGCGCAGACGGCAGAAACTACTGGTTGTGGGAAATTTTGCATCACCAAGTGGGGAGAAGGCTGACCTCGTGGTACGCCCAAGGAGCCAAAGAATTACAAGTTCAAGGCATTTCGGGAGGCCGTTGGGTGGGTACTAGTGGTCTATATAAACCTTGGAGAGGCCTTGGAATAAACTCTCATTCCAACAAGAACACGCTCCCGTGCAGCTCAAACTCCCAGAGCTTCGAAGCAAGCATTTCTGAGTCGCTCCGACCCGTAATAGGTATGTGGTCCCGTTAACCCCTCATCTTCCACCTCCGCATCCGCATGAACCAGGATTGAGAGGCTGACGTTTGGCATCAGGAATACGTACCCCAGGTACCACAAGTCCGAGTCCTGTTATATATACCTCTACGCAGCCTCAATTTGTCTTTCACAGCACAATAATCCAAAATGGTATTTCTCCGCTCTGCTTCGCGCTTCGCGCGCCCTGCCTCGTCCCTCCTCAGCGCCAGTGCCCGCGCCGGACCGCGATTGACTTCTTCACTTCGTCAACCCAATGCCTTCAGAACGCTAACGGCGTCTGCCTCACAACAGGGAAAAGTTTTGCTCGTACTGTACGATGTAAGTTGGATTACCATTGCCAATCTACCATTGGCGCCACTGACACCCAAGTCCAGGGTGGTGTGCACGCCCAGCAGGAGCCCCGTCTTCTCGGAACCACAGAGAACGAGCTTGGTCTCCGCAAGTGGATTGAGGACCAAGGCCACGAGCTGGTCACCACATCGGACAAGGAGGGTGAGGGCTCAGAGTTCGACAAGCACCTTGTTGATGCAGAGGTCATCATTACAACACCGTATGTCGAAAATTACCCCGCATTCGCGCTAAAAGAAGAGCCCCACTACCCCCACGCGTCGTGCCCTTGACGCGCTAATGCAACGCGGGCATCATCTGAAAGCACGTGGACTGACCAGATGCGATGAACAGTTTCCACCCTGGTTACCTGACGGCAGAGCGTCTTGCCAAGGCAAAGAAGCTTAAGCTTGCTGTTACTGCTGGTATCGGATCCGACCACGTCGACCTCAATGCCGCCAACACCACCAACGGCGGTATCACCGTCGCCGAGGTCACTGGCTCTAATGTCGTCTCCGTCGCTGAGCACGTCGTCATGACCATGCTCGTCCTTGTCCGCAACTTTGTCCCTTCCCACGAGCAAATCGCAAGGGGCGACTGGAATGTCGCAGAGTGTGCCAAGAACGAGTACGACCTCGAGGGCAAGGTTGTCGGTACCGTTGCCGTCGGCCGTATCGGTGAGCGTGTGCTCCGCCGTCTCAGGGCCTTTGACTGCAAGGAGCTTCTCTACTACGACTACCAGCCTCTTAGCGCCGAAACGGAGAAGGAGATTGGCTGCCGCCGGGTCGAGAACCTCGAGGAGATGCTCGCACAGTGTGATGTTGTCACCATCAACTGCCCGCTGCACGAGAAGACCCGCGGCATGTTCAACAAGGAGCTCATCTCCAAGATGAAGAAGGGCTCATGGCTCGTCAACACGGCCCGTGGCGCCATTGTCGTCAAGGAGGATGTTGCCGAGGCGCTCAAGAGCGGTCACCTCCGCGGATACGGTGGTGATGTCTGGTTCCCCCAGCCCGCTCCCAAGGACCACCCACTCCGCTACGCACAGAACCCATGGGGCGGCGGCAACGCCATGGTTCCCCACATGTCCGGCAGCTCCATCGATGCTCAGAAGGTAAGATGGCCCCATCGCTCGCCTATGTGTGTGTGCATTTTTGCTAACTGATGTTTCCCAGCGTTACGCCGACGGCACCAAGGCTATTCTCGACGAGTACTTCTCTGGCCGCGAAAATTACAGGCCCCAGGACCTCATCGTATACAAAGGTGATTACGCGACAAAATCATACGGGCAGAGAAAGTAATAAGCGATGTAAATTTAATGAATCTGCTTCCCTTTCAACATTGTAGCGCGTGAACAGTGATCATGGTCGATGCCTCTACATCATTCTACACCATCGCTTCGGCTTTGCGCTTCTCCAGATACTCCTCGTTCCTTCTGGCCTGACTTGCCTTGGCTCTTGGAGTCTGCGCATACGCCTTTTGGTACGCGGCCGTCTTCGCCTTGTATTCCGGATTCTTCCTCCGCTTCGCACCATACACCCTGTTCTGCACACGTTGTCTCTCCACAACTCCAGCAAGCTTTCTCCGTTCCCTTTGCCCTGCTGCCCGCATCGCCTCGACTTCTGGCTGTTGTAGATATTTCTTTTTCTGTATCTTTGCCCTCTTTTGGATAGCATCTATCTCCACTCTTACCTCTTCCTCTGTCGATACCCTGGATTGTGTAGATCCCTCGGATGGCAATTCCTGCACAGAGCCCTTGGTAGTCGAGGATTGCAGGATTCCAGAAAGACTTTTCCATGCACTTTATCTGGTCATGGTCATGGAATGCAAATGCATGACCGAGAGTTGCTTCTAGAGTGAGAAAGAGCGCCCGTAACTGAAAATGTCGAGCTTCTTCAACTTGGGGTGCCCAGGCAATGATGCATCTTTGTGCAATCATCCACCCAAAATTTATGGCGTCTGCCACATTCGTAGCATACTTCTCGTCGCGATCGTAGTCATGAAATCTTGAGATAATGCCAGTTGCTTTTTAGGTTCCACTCCCAAGATGCAGTCGGTAATCCCAGGGGAAGTCTCCAGTGAATGCATTCTGAACCCATTTCATCAGGACCAGCACGTATAGACCATATCCGTTTTGTAGAAGAAGAGATGTCCTAAGGAAGTTCTGTACCGAGGGTGGTGTTCCAGTAACCAGAAGCTCTAGCAAGTTAGGAAGGAAATAGACCTAAGATTTAGCATTAGCAAATATAACAAAAGGATACAAAGCCAGGAAGCATACTTGTACGTCGTGCATATGATAGCGAATCTCATCAACATCACTGAAGAGGTTCTAACGAAGACAGGGGCAGGCTTGTCGGTCTCAAGCTGGAGGAGGAATGCAGATGCGAGTGCCTGAAGTGAATCGCCGGCTGCAGGTGAGGGCTGAACAACTGCTGCCACTTGAGCTGGTAGGTCTCGCAGGGTGGACACGTCCATTGTGAAGAGTCGGCACAGCGACTGTGCAGAGGAGAGGGGTGCAGAGCAGAGGGTGGCAGGCATCGAGATTTATTGACAGAAATCTATTCGATGTTGTTAGGGAAAGCGTTCTCCCCAGAAGCGCTGCTAGGGAAGGCGCTCCTCGACAACGACCGTCTTCTCTCGTCGTCTGTCTCTTCGTCACTGTCGTCTTTGAAGCCCTGCTCCAGCTCTCTGCCCAATCTTCGCTCTTCCTCCATGATGCTCCTTCGTTGCTCCAGCGCCTCGCGCCTCCGCTCGTCAATGGGATCAAAGCCGACCATGTCCTCGCCCTCTTCGTCGTCAAATAATTCATCCTCATTGAGACTGCTGCCATGAACGACTGTGCGGCTTCTCGTCCAGACACCAGGGGCAAATAGGCCGTAGAGGGCATCCGAGAGGTTCGTCCGCCATGAGGCTGGAAAGTCGGCAACACCGGCTGGCATGGGGAGGTACTGGCTGTAGCGACTGCGGTGGCGGCGCACAAAGGGGAGGATGAGGAAGGCTAGGAGGACATAGAGAATGGCGGCGAGGAAGAGGGGGATGAAGATGGTCTGTCAGTCATAGGATGGTTAGTATGGCCAAGCAGGGGATGACAATCATAGTGGTGAACATTTAGCTATGCACCACTGCTCACCTTGAAGAATTGGGAGGCCGCCATGGCTGCGAGGACATGTGTCCACGGTGGTGACGGGTCCTGGGCGACTGACTGATGTAGGGGAGGGGGATGGCGTCGTTTTGTCTGTTGCAGGCTGAGGCAAGACCGGGGGCCCTGTACCCGCTGCTGCGAGGCCGACACGCGAAGAGCAGCAGATGGGGGGGGTCGACTGGTACGGTACGTAGTAGACTGTACTCTATTGGGGAGGACGTGTGGCGTTGTGGCGTTGTGGCGTCGTTGTAGTCGTCTTCGTGGCTGACCTCCTCTTCTCTTGCTCTGTGGCTACGGCACTCTATAGCTAACTTGCAGCCCACTACACCGCAGCCAGATGTTATCCTGTGTGCCCTGAAGTCCGTCCTGTCAGAATGGGAAAGAAAAGGGGAGAGAGAGATAGAGAACACTTACGGACGTCGTAACGGGGCACTGGGGGGGGAAACGACGCGTGCTCCATGGGCCTGCGCCACACAGTCACGGGCCAGTCAGCGCTCTCTTGCAGCTTGCACGTCTCAGGGAGCAGCGGGTGCGCCTCCCAAAGTGGAGGACGGATATGGCATGGCCGCCCGGGAAACGTTATTCGTCCGGGTCGCAATAAGAAAAGTGTCCTGGTTATAAGCCTTACCTTACCTAAATTAGTTAACATCCTGCAGCTAGTAAATTAGTACTGCAGGGGATACTGCTAGATAGCCCGCGACTAGTATTAATAGTATTAGTATATAGTATTAGTAGATATTAGGTTATCTATACCTAGTTACGTGTTATTATAGAGTTTTTACCTATAGTAACTAGGTAATAGCTATAACCTAATATCCTATATTAACTAAAATCTATTAAAATACACCTAATTATTATACTTTTTATTTTATAGAAATATTACTTACTTAATCTATATTACTAACTAACTTAGATAACTCTTAGGTGTCCTTTAAGGCTTTATAGAGTATAAGGTTATTATAGAGCCCTATACTAGTAGTATTATAAATATACTAAGTTATAGTAAGTTAATTCTTTTCCTTTACTATAGTAATACTACTAATACTATATATTAATACTATTAATACTAGTCGCAGGCTATCTAGTGGCATCCCCTATAGTACTAATTTACTAGCTGCAGGATGTTAACTAATTTAGGTAAGGTAAGGCTTATGACCAGGACACTTTTCTTATTGCGACCCGGACGAATAACACTTGCCATGGCCGCCCGTTCACGCACGTCCAAACACAAGTCGGGGGAAGCCCAGCCGCAGGCACAAAGTCGCACGGCACTGGCACTTGGACAACCTCGACGCGCACACATATACCCATTGTATGCACATAAACAGTCACACACATACCACACACACATAACGGCAGGGCAGCTGTAATTAGTGAACACACTGTAGCACAGAGCCGCCAGCTAGTACTCGGTTACTACCCGCGACTCACATGCAGCCCGCATTCGCCCATCGTGCCCAGCATCCGACCCCCCTCCCCCCTCCCTCTATCCACCCCCCCAATAAGCCCAAGGGAATTTCATCAGCACGGTGGACGTCTGTCAATAGCCCCCTCCCCCCTCCCCCCTCCCCCCCCACGCACTCGTTTCAGCATTGCACGCCACACCAGTCGCCCGCAAATCCCACTATTGTGCTTCACCGCATCGCACTGCACCGCGCCCTACATCGTGGATAGACAGCACACGGACCCCGAGGGAGAAGGCCTAAGGAGCCTGGAGGACACATTCGGGCGGCGCGCTCTACTGGTGGCAGCACAGGCACTCGCACTCGCACAGGCATTGGCTTGAGAGCCTCCTGAATCGGATGGAGGGCAAGGGTCGCCAATCCTCTGCCGGCAAATTCTTCGGGCGCCGTCACAAGGACAAAGACAAGACGTCCAGCAGCGATCCGCGCCAGACCATCTCCTCGACCGATAGCCCCCCAGGCAGCTCCTATGGCAGTCAGTCTTCGCGTCACTCGCACCGCCACTCCATCAGCGCCGCATCGCTAGAGCGGCCCGTGTCCATGACTGCCGAGGGCATCTTCGCGCGCGCTGGCCCCGTGTCGTCGATTGACCCTCCGCCCGACCAGACCGCCCGCTCCCACGAACCGCTGCCACATCACCTCAACAAGGGCGGCGGAGACTTTCACCAGTACCCCGTCTTTACCGCCTCCCCAATGTCCCAAAATGGCTACAGCAACCCCGGGCCCCCGCGCCCACCACCGCATTCCGCAGGCACCACCACCATTGCCTCGAGCCAGCCTGGCGACCGCGGCGTGTCCATGCAGCAGTGGGGTGCTCGCGAAAGCAGCAGGAATGGCAACTACTCGTACTATGCTGGCTCTGACCCTTTTGACAATGCCCGTCCCTCGTCCGGCCAGGCCAGCGTCTACTCCAACGACTCCAAATCACGGTCAAGCAATGCCTTCTACCCCCAGAATCCCTCCTCTCAATCCACCTTTTCCTCCCTGGCCCTTGACCCTGGGAGTCTCCTTCCCACCGCCGCTTCCACCCCGCGCGACTCGCACCGCATTATGCACTACAACAATTCACCGTCCTCGTCGACCGCCTCTTTTGGACAGAATCCAAATACGCTCAGTATACAAAGACCACCAGATCATATCGTAGAAAAGGAGTTTATGAGCCTCATGGTGAAGCGAGGTTGGAAGAGCTTACCTGAGCAGGCACGGCGGCAGATGGAAGCCTACAAGATCGATAAGAAGTGGACGCTAGTCTACCAGGACAAACTGGCCGAATACAAGCACGAGGAGAAGAAACGCCAAACGCAACGCATGACCTATGGCGGTGTCCAGAATCCAGACATCCTTATGAGGGCTGAAGAGGAGGGATCGCCCGAGTGGTATGTCAAAAAGGTCATGGACAACTCCATCACCATAAAACAAATGTCGAGTCTCGAGATCAGTCTGCGCACGCAGCCGATTGCCTGGGTTCGGGGCTTCATAGAAGCGCAGGGTCAGATTGCCCTGACCAATGTGCTGGCCAAGATCAATCGCAGAAAGGGTACAGGGCCGGCTCCCCCGCCCAGCGTCATCGCGCAAAAGGCTGAAAACGATGTCGACAGAGAATACGAAATCATCAAGTGTCTGAAAGCTTTGATGAATAACAAATATGGAGCCGATAATGCGCTGAACCACCCTTCCATCATCCAGGCGCTGTGTGGCTCCCTCATCTCGAATCGGCTCAACACTAGGAAACTGGTCTCTGATGTCTTGACCTTCTTGTGCCATTGGGGTGATGGAAAGGGTCACGAAAAGGTGCTACAAGCCCTGGATAACCTCAAGACGCAGTATGGCGAGAGCAGTCGATTCGATGCTTGGATGCGGGTCGTCGAGGTGACGACAGATGGCCGCGGCAAGATGGGTTCCTTGGTCGGCGCATCAGATGAAGTACGGAGTGGTGGCATCGGCGTGGAGAACCTTCTCATGGAATATGCCATCGCGACGCTCTTCCTCATCAATATGATTGTGGACGCCCCGGAGCGCGATCTCCAGCTCCGGATGCACATTCGAGCCCAATTCACAGCATGTGGCATCAAGCGCATCTTCAGCAAGATGGAGGGCTTCCAGTACGATGTCATTGACAAGCAGATTGAACGGTACATGGCCAACGAAGCCATTGATTATGAGGATTTCCTCGAGAGGGAAAACAGCTCCATGATTGACAGTGTGGAAGGAGAGACCAAGGATCTCAATGACCCTACCCAAATTGCAGATGCCATCATGAGCAAAATCAGTGGCAGTCGAACGCAAGACTACTTTGTGTCGGCCATGCAACATCTGCTGCTCATGCGGGATACCGAAGGCGAGGATCGATTGAGAATGTTCCAGTTGGTGGACCAGATGCTGAGCTACGTGGCTATGGACCGCCGACTGCCAGACATGGATCTCAAGCAAAGTTTAAACTTTACCGTACAATCTTTGCTAGACAAACTGTATACCGACTCTGAAGCTCGCCAAGTTCGAGATGAAGCGATTGAAGCTCGTCAAATCGCCGACTCGGCCATTGCAGAGCGAGATGAGCTGAAAGCGCAGCTCGAGCTGGGTGCAGATGGCTTGGTCTCCAAGTTGCAGAAACAGCTCGCCGAGCAAGAGCGTATCATCGAACTCCGCGGAAGGCAAGTGGAGCAGATGAAGGCTGAACTTGCTGAGGTACAGCGACTTCGAGCGCAAGAGCTGCAAAGAAACGAGCTGGAAACGCGTGAACTGTACTTGATGCTTAGAGATGCCCAAGACGTTGCAGCATCGGCCGCGAAGAAGTCTGGAAAGGAAGGCCTTGGTACCACAGACCCTGCTCAAATGCAGGGCATCATGGATCGCGAGCGTCTGATGAACAGACTCGAAATCCAGCTGCAAAGAGCAAGGACGCAAGCCACTCTCGAGGGAAAAACACTGATGTTGCAGCCAAGTGAGAAGCTCAGAGAGCTCAGAGAAAAGATGGAAGGGGACATGGGTGGTCTACAAGAACAAAGCTTTGGTAGTCTCGAGCCGAACGCGTTTGGTTCGGTACGAGCCAAGAGTGGAGTACCACGCCGAAAGCCTCTTCCCAGCCTGCCTGGTCAGGTTGGCGAAGACGAGATCATGTCGGATGCGCTCGAAGACGACGATGATATTGTCATTGAGAAGCCCCGACTGATTACCATGCACAAGCCCAAGCTTAGCTCGTCCACACAAAATGCGTTGCTGGGAGAGATTACATCACATGTTAAGCGATACGATGATTCTGAAGCAGAAGATACAGGTGATGGTATCACCACAGGACCCTCACACCCAAGCCTCGACTCGGATGCTCCCAAGACGCCTGCCATCCCTCCTCCACCGCCTCCACCTCCTGGTGCCCTTGGGTTTCCAGCTGATATACCGCCTCCCCCGCCTATGCCCGGATCTAATGCTAATATTCCACCTCCACCTCCACCACCGCCTCCAGGCAAGCTCGGCTTTGGGCCGCCTGGAATGCCACCGCCTATACCAGGCGACGGAAGTATGCCTCCCCCTCCCCCTCCCCCTCCACCGATGATGCCAGGCGGCAAGCGAGGACCAGGTTTCTTACCAAAAGCACCCGGGTTTGGCGCCACATCTGCTGCACTATCTGGACCGAGACCCAAGAAGAAGCTCAAGGCCCTTCATTGGGACAAGGTCGACTCTCCTTCTTCGACCGTATGGGGTACTCGTGGTATGACCGCTGAAGAGAAGGAAGAGAAGTACCAAGAGCTCTCCAAGAAGGGTGTCCTTGAGGAGATTGAGAAGCTGTTCATGGCCAAGGAAATCAAGGCAATTGGCAAGAAGTCGGGCAAGAAAGACGAAAAGAAACAGATCATCTCGCGTGATCTCATGCACAACTTCCAGATCAGCATGGCCAAGTTCTCATCTTATTCGGTTGAGGAAGTGGTGCAGATGATTATTCATTGCGATTCCAAGATTCTTGATGACCTGGTGGTCATGGAATTCTTGCAGAAAAGTGACTTCTGCGATATCCCAGACAACACTGCAAAACTCATGGCACCATACTCCAAGGACTGGACTGGACCTAATGCTAGCGAGAGTAAGCGTGAGCAAGATCCATCGGAGCTTACGCGAGAGGATCAAATATATCTATACACTGCATACGAACTGCATTCATACTGGAAGAGCAGGATGAGGGCACTTGCGCTTACCCGCACATACGAAGCCGAATACGACGAGATATCTGCCAAGCTACTTGAAGTCTCGCGCGTGTCCGAGAGCCTGCGAGATTCATCCAGTCTGATCAGTGTGCTGGGCCTCATCCTTGACATTGGTAACTTCATGAACGATGCCAACAAGCAAGCTAGCGGCTTCAAGCTCTCCACTCTTGGCCGCCTCGGTATGCTAAAGGACGACAAGAACGAATCCACATTTGCCGATATCGTCGAACGCATCGTGCGCAACCAGTACTCTGGCTGGGAAGGGTTTACCGAGGAAATCAGTGGCGTCGTCACTGCCCAGAAGATCAACGTTGAGCTTCTGATACAGGACGCAAAGAGGTACATTGACAACATCAAGAATGTCCAAATGTCCCTTGACGCTGGTAACCTTTCCGACCCCACCAAATTCCATCCCGAGGATAAGGTCAGCATTATCGTGCAGAGGAGCATGAAAGAGGCAAGACGCAGAGCGGAGCAGATGCAGGTCTATTTGGAAGATATGCAGAAGAGCTATGATGACATCATGGCCTTCTACGGAGAAGATCCGACTGACGAAAGCGCAAGACGGGATTTCTTTGCCAAACTGGCGAATTTTGTTCAAGAGTGGAAGGTTTGTTGTCCCCTGAATACCTTGTTCGAGAATTGTGTTTTGTTTACTCCCATGTCTAGAAATCCCGCGAAAAGAACACGGCGCTCGAGGAGCAACACCGCCGCAACGAAATCTCCATGCGCCGCAAAGCATCCCAGCAAAACCTCAATCCTCTTTCCCCGACCGCCCTCTCCGACTCGGACGCGCCCAAATCCCCGGCGTCGACGGGCGCAATGGACGACTTGCTTCAGAAATTACGGGCCGCGAAACCCGAAGCACGGGATCAACGCGACCGTCGCCGTCGCGCCCGTCTCAAGGACAAGCACCAAGTCCGCGTCGCCTCTGGGCAAAAGATCCCGGAACTCGGAATCAACGTCGACGACCAAGGGGGCAGTGCGGCAAGTGGAGGTTCAGCCGAAGCAGGTGGGGAAGGCGCAGCAGGCAAAGGCAAAGGTATCTTGTCCCCTGGCTCCTCGGAAGCCGCAGAGTCGGATGCGAGCGCTAGTGGAGCTGGCGGTGCGATGACAGCGCCCACAGGCTCCTCATCGGCGGCCGAGACGGATATTGCGGACCGTGCGGCTGCGATGCTCGAAGGGTTGCAGAGTGGCACTGGGGCCACGCTGAATAAAGATGGGTCGTTGAGTGTGCGGCGGAGACGCGAGAATGCGGATTCGGAGCGGCAGCGACGGAGAAATCGAAGACAGGGGGCGGGGAGTAGTGCAAAGACAGAGGATGGGGGTTTGATGAGTCCGAGTGCGATTGTGGAGGAAGGAGGAGGGGATGGTACTGGTGATGAAGCCAAGGATGGGGCTGAGGAAGGGGGAGTCAGTGCTGCTGCTGCTGATGCGCAAGATGAAGGCAAACAAACGGAAGACGATGCAAACCCCGGGACTCCAGTTACAATCGTCCATCCGCCCAGTCCAGAGCAAAAAGGAAGGGAATTGCCCACGCCGCCGCCAGATGAGGGATGAATCGTCGCGCCTAATAAAGGGTAATGAGTAAAGTGTGATGTTGCCAATCGCGGACCTGGGAGAGAGAGAGACACGCACCACGCACACACACAGAAGGAGAGAGGGAAAGATGCAAGATAGGCTGTTTGTCAATGAAATCGGGATTGCGTGTGTCAGATTAGGGTTTGGGGGGCTGAGGGGATTGGCATTGGTATGGTTTTGGGCATCGGCATCGGCATCGGCATCAGCATAGGCACAGGCATAGGCATAGGGGCTTGGGGGAGGGGTCTGGCTGGTTGGTGTTTGTCAAAGAGAAAGTGTGAAATAGGGGAAAGGGAGACGGAGAAAGCAGTGGTATGCCGTAAACTTACACATACGACGTTGTTTTCTCTCGCTTCTTTGTTTGTTTTGTTTGCTGTCGCTGCTGTTTTTGATGTGTTGGCGACGAAGTAGCAGTGAGATTAGTTGGTAGTTGGTAGTTGGTAGTTGGATTTGGATACCCAATCGTTATATTTATTATTATCATTCTTGTTGTTGTTCTTGTTGTTCCTGGGAGGTACTTTTTACTACGTTCTTATTGTAGGTTGGGTGAGTGTTTGAGAGGGGTAGGTTTGGAAGGGGTAGATGAACGGGGGCCACGTAAGAATGGGCCATGGCTTATCCCATGAGTATACTAGATTCATGCGTTTAACACACCGAATGTAATGCGCACAATGCTCAGCTCGTACACAGACCCAGTGTGGTTCTATCACCATTAGGGATAGAGAGAGAAATGAAGGATGGTGGATGTGTGTGTGTGTCTGTATGTGTTTCTATGACGATGCTTGAAGTTGGTTCGCTGGCACGCTTATGCTTAGGTGCTCTTGTATGACTATGGAAATATCGACGCGAAGCCGTCTAGCTAAAGACGGATGTGGGAGTCTTAGATTAGTTAGATATGCTTACGCTCATGTCGAGCAACAGAAATATGAGCCTTAGGTTGTCGACATAGCTAACGAGCAGATATTGGATACACATTCACCATTAGCCAGAAAGGCAGTATCAGGCGGCACACTAACGGTTTCTAGCACAGCTGGATGCTAAAGCTTGCCATGTCCATCCTCTTGACTAGAATTAGTAGCTACTGCTGACCGACAGCTGATATACTGTGTGCGACATTACGACTCCGACTCGGACTCTGGCTAAATCATCAAAAGACGACGACGGTAACGCGTCCTCCTTGTCATATCCCGCCCTGTGTTCTCCCTCGCCCATTCGTCCGACTGCCCGTGTGGCTGCACGTGGCTTGCCCATCTGTACGCCTTGTACAACCACCAAGCTCAATCACATCTCCCCGGGTCTGGACCAGAAGACAATCACCATATCAGTATCGCGCCCACTCCCTTGCATTAAGCAACAACGGTCGGTATTAAGCACAAGGTCCTTTTTCTAGGGCTACGCAACGACTCGCTCCAGTCTCTCCAACTGAAAGCCCATTATTGTTCTGCGAGCATCATGCAGATCACCTGGAAGCGAACGGGGTGCCCGTGCGCAAGAGAGGGGATCCGAAACTGGGGCGTCTGTTGGTGTGTGGATGCTCCATTTCAATCTGCCTTGCCATAGCGTGCAGATGAAAGTGTGTTGAGAGGCGCACATGATCAAGGGAGCGAGAGCGGAAAAACAAGATTGCCTTTGTTGTATGCAACGGCAGGCGTGATTTGAGTTGACAGCTTTGTGTCGCCGACTCATCCGCATTGCGACATTTGCGTCGGTACTCGGACTGAGACCGATATAAAAAGACCGACCTGACTCGGCTCCCTCGCAGCAACCAAGATCAGCTTCACTATCGATACTGGTTATGAGCGCCGGGAACGCCAATATGCAGAAATCTGTAGTGTTTGTCCACCTGCTTTTGTCTCTGGTCGTCCCCTCACATGCCGGCGTCAAACAAGAAGACTTCACCGGTATCGGCCACATTCATGTCCTCAACTCCAGCGACTGGCAAACAGCAACACCAGACCTGAAGGTAGGATGCATGGACGCAAGTGGCAAGTTCGTCAAGGATGTTTCCGAAGAGAGCTGTGGTGTGTTTGCGCGGCTAGCAGAGTATCCATATACCCTCTCGACCTCGGAGGGCAACTGCACCTTTGAAGACGACAGGCAGGAAAACAACGGCGACAGTCTGTACGGCCAGATGGACTACGCATGGAACTGTGGAAAGGATTACAAGACTAGTATTTACGACGAACTCTACACTATCGTACGTCCTTGGCTCTGCCACATCTGCCCCTTGCTCTCCTTGTTCTTCTGTAGCGCACCTCTCACTCACAACGCAATCGTAGACCGGCCTCCCATACGTCTTCCTCTGCTTCGGAGACATCGCATGCTTCTACGACGCCAAGCGCGTTCCTGCGCCTGCGGAGCAGCTCTCGCTATGGCAGTTCCACTGGGGTTCCCAACAATTGGGCATCACGCCAGGACACATCCAGTTGCTGTTGATGTGGGACAAGATTGGCGATCTGCCGAAGCGAGAGGACAGCAGCAGCGTGATCCCAGGCCCGCGTGTGGAACTTGAGAGTGGGCAACAGGTACCCTTGCTTGGGAAGAGGGTGAAGGCGTTGGAGGTTTGAGTGCGCAACCGGGTGTGCTTCCATGGGGAAGCCGAGATAGCTCATGGGGGTTTCTTGGTTGTGCATGCGTGCGCCGATGAAGATGGGGGTACTTTCGGCTGGACTTTACATGCCGCGTATGCTGATAGCCTGATACATGTGTGCTGTGCTGCTACCTACTCCTCGGATTCCACGCCGTGTATTGTAGCACCGGACCTGCAGTAGTAGTCTGCTGTGCAAGACAAGTCAAGCCCATCACACTTCCACCACCTTGCACACAAACATATGACATAGTTACTCCGCGCCCCTCATACCTCCCCACCACCAGCCACCAGCCACCAGCCCCGCATCCCAAATTCTAGCCTCAACCTCACCCCCCCCCCCCCCCCATTATGTTTCGCCTAGACAACGATAAGATTGCTAAAGTGTCAAGTGGCGTGTGCTAAGCTCCATGCGAACTTGGCGAGGGTGGCTTTTAATCTCCGTCCGCAGGGGTGCAGGGGAAGCGGGCACTAAGTTGCTAGCGCGGGTGTAGGATCCTGGTGGGTTTGTTGATCATGTTGGGCTTCTTATGGGAACTACGCACTTGTACACCAGGTAGATGGATTTTGTGCAAAAAAAAAAAGGTCGGGAGCTAGGAGGTATGTGCGATGGGATTTTGGTTTTTGCTTTGTGGGGGAGGTAGGAGGGGTGGTTGGGTATGTATGTGTGAATGCAAATTATAGTATACTTATCATGGGAATGTATAACCAAGTTGCAGTCCTTGCATCTCCTTTTCAAAGAGCAGCCAAACTAGGTATGGTAGGTCGAGGACGAGAAGGATCAAGAGTACTCGTCAACACTTCACTTCATTCGGCAGTGCAAGGAGCAGGAGCGCAGACACGAAAAGCAGTGGGATATAAAGAGAGCGAGAATACGTGGATAACGCCGTACAAAGGATTCAAAGCGGGGTTGAAGAAAGTCCTGCACTTCTTGGCGTAGGCGTAGGTATGGGGTCTGGATTTTCTCCGCTTCAGTTGGGCTGGTGGGCTGATAATTGCCTGAGCTGCGTCATTGTAAGATTCATGGGATTTGTACTGCTGTGTGGATTTTTTTTGGAGAGGGGGGGAGAGACGTATACGGACAGTTGTGCGGCTGAATTGGGGTTTTCAGTGGCTCGCTGGGATGTCGATGGCGTTATAGTGGGTTGTGGTTGGGTATAGTGGCATGGAAGTAATATTTCCCAAGGCGCCGACACTAACTACGGGCTTCGCCGTGTGGATTGGTAATGTGAGTGCCAGGAATAACATGAATTGTGAAGGAGTGGATACTGTCTATTCGATAGCAAAACTTCATGTCCAGAAGGTTTGCACACCGATTTGCATCCTGGCTGGGGGCCGGATCGTACTGAAGAAGCGGCCCGTTGGTGTTTCAAGACGGAGAGGAAATTTTACTGTGTATACAGCATTGGTCCGGTCAAGTTCGGTATAATATACGGGACCTAGCAAGGATGCAAAACGGTGCGTTGAAGGGTCTCGAACCCATACCTTGGAGCTGTCGGCCGTTTGCAAGAAAGAAATAACCAGATGAGCGGGCGCAGAGTGGATCTGGGTACAGAGATTTCCCGAAACGTGAAGTGTGGAGTATGTTCCTGGTCTGGGGCAAGTAATATCAACGTCAAGAAGGTGTTATAATTGGGCAGCAAGAAGATAGTAATCAAGTGTATAAAAGAAAGCCATGTCGAGGAGAAGGCAGGCATCCCAAGTCATACTCCCGACTTCCTTCCCCGTCAACAAGGCTTGCCATCTTATTTGGTAAGCATCACGGTCAGTGAAACAGAACATGTTTTAGTGCTGCTCGATACCCAGAACTCTATTCTAACATCGTGTAGTTTGTACCACAATGCAGATCTCAGCTCTGCTCCTACTCGGCAGCCTGTCGTTCCTGGCCGAGGCAAGCAACCATTTCGCACCGGCAAAGACACAGAGAGACACGGCATTTGTGCACCCTGGAGCCTTGCATACTGCCGAGGATATAGCACGCATCAAGAACCATGTCAAGAATAAGGAACAGCCATGGCTCAAAGCCTTCCAACACCTTGAGACCTTGCCGTTCGCTCAGCCAACTCGTCCTCCCATTGCAGTTGCCACTCTCACACGCGGCATCGACCCCGTCGACCGTGGTCTCCCGCAAAACTACCCGAATGCCTACCGCAATGCGCATGGGGCGTACATGTTGGCCATACGATGGCTCGTTACCGACGACGTCAAGTTTGCAGATGCGGCAGTCAAGATCCTGAATGCGTGGTCTGCGACTCTCACGACAATCAGGGGCAACTCGGATCGCTTCCTAGCCGTAGGCCTATATGGCTACCAATTCGCCAACGCCGCAGAGCTCCTTCGTACCTATTCCGGCTGGGCTCGGTCAGATCAGCTAAAGTTTGGTGCGATGCTCAACGACATCTTCGCGGCTCACAATCGGGATTTTCTGGACAATCACAATGGCATTCCGGCCCATTACTACGCCAATTGGTATCAGTGCAATATTGCGTCGCTCATGGCCATTGGCATCTTCAACGACAATAGAACCATGTTCGATTTTGCGGTAAATTACTTCCGGGATGGGCCGGTGGACGGCAAAGTCGCATATGGCGCACTGCCATTCTTCTCCATTGCAAACTTCACCGAGGAAGGGTCGGGGAAGATATTGATGCAGGGACAAGAAGCCGGAAGAGACCAAGGTCACGCAACTCTCAACTTCGCACTCCTTGGCGTAATCGGCCAGCAAGGCCGGAGCCAGGGCGTGGATACGTATGGGTTCTACGGTAGTCAGATTCTGAATGGGTAGGCGATTGTTCCAGCAAGAGGACGAAAGAAAAAGATTGGCATCTCACTAACACCCACCCGCAGTGCCGAGTACGCAGCAAAATACAACACCAATCACACAGTGCCCTACCAGCTATTCCAGAGCTACCAGGGCCCCCAGCCCGTCGTCTCGGACAAACAGCGCTTCGTCCGTCGTCCCGGCTTCGAAGCCATTTACTCCCACTACGAGGAGCTTCGGGGCCAGAATGCATCCTGGACCAAGGCTTACCGCGACTATGTGAATGAGGAGAAGGGATTGGAAGGCGGCGGAGGTGACTTTGGCCCGAATTCGGGCGGGTTCGATGTTTTTGGACATGGGACGCTGATGTATCGTCTCACCCCGGATCCGAAGTAAAGGGTTTGCGGCTGCTCCCTGATGGTTGCGTCTTTGGAGATGGGATGGATGTGGGTTGGGCAAGTTATGTATGCGCTAGACTGAAAATAATGATGATCGAGCTGCAAGACAGTTTGTGGATGTCGAGGTTTGCACGTTGGTGTAGTGTGATGATGCAGCCCGTGCAGGATTTCTACCGAGCCAAAACATCAGATACGCATGAATTTGCTGGTTCTCTCGGCTAGTTTGAGGATCACGTTACTTGTCTTGTGTCATCAGAATAGGCAGGCTGTAGCAGTGGCAAGTCACATGATACTCAAACTACCCGAGCGCATGGGTAGATAACTGCACCTGGTATGTATAGTAGGGCCCATGTCAGGACGATGGCGCGGGGTCTCGCGACATGACAGGGCGTGCATGGTTCATTACGGCGAGAGTGGTTGCTATC